GTTATTACTTTACTTATAAACTTCTTTTCTTCAAGAAGAGACACACAGACCTTAAAAAACAAAGGCACACTGGGGATTCTCTTCTGAATTAACATTCTTTGTTGAAATTTCTTGCTTATCGATTCCTCGCGAGACTTTTTATTCCGGTTTGAGAGTGCGTAACTACTGTTTTCTGTGGTCCACAATTTAGCCCGTTACTCACTCGAAATTTTGTCTTTTTGAGCATTTTCTGGGAAGGTTATTATAGAATAGGATCAAATTGATTCCTAAATCTGTTTACCGTTAGTGAAGCAGTAATCTTTCTTATCTTTAACCATACAAGCGTCATTTTTGAATATTATATTTCAAGGCTATAAAAAGGTTATCTATCATAACTTGAAAAAGATTCAATCACCTCGAGTGAGCGGAAGTCTAAAATGGCTGTTAGTTTTTAGCAATTTTTCACCTTGGTGGCTAATTTATCCTGGTGGGAGGGAATTCCTTGTTGTTGGTTCAGGGAGAATTCTACAAATTTGCTTTATATGCCGTTGATGGACAAGTTCTTCTGCTTTTGAAAGACTCATGGCCCATGTTGGTTAAACTGAGAGATGCTTGATGATCACGTAACTGTGTGAAATGATCGCGAGGCCAGGCCGGCGGGCGGGCAGTCGGGCGCTGTAGACATTTCATGAGTTTGAATTAAATTTTGCACTTTTGTAGTCACGGCTGACATTCAACGGAAACGAGTTTCGCAGCCAATTTCCTGTGTTTTAGTTGTTCGTTGATCTGTAAGCGAGCACCTGACAAAGGGGCACAAACACAGGTGAAACTGATTGGTTCAGTTGTGTGTGTTGTGTTGTGTTGTTATTACCATGTATTACTGAGAATTCCTCGCTTCCTTGACAGCTCATAAGAAGTCTACTCTCTTTCCCTTCATTTTATCTGTTTCTCCTGCAAACACTTCACTTTTGGAATAATTGCCGCTGTTTACTCAGTTCTAGCCCCGCCATTGTTCTGCAAATGGCCATTAATTGAACGAAATTATCTTCAAGCGAAAGTTGGTTTGCTGTTTCTTCAGCTGCCTCTCCAGTGCTGTGTTGTTCGCATCGCAGACGACGCTTCTTCTTTCCCAGACTTCGACACGTAAGGACCAAACAATATTCAATCGCTTTTATGATCGCGGAACATTGGACAGAAATTTCCAAGTGAGTTTGAAACTGAAAACATACGGAACTCGCTGCAAAAGCAGGGTTTTTTAGATCAATTTTTGCCGCTCTTGTCTGTCTAGTATTTTTTTCGTGTATACGCGAAAAAAAAGTTAGCTATAATTTATTCTTCTCTTTACTTTTGCCTCTAGCTCATCAGCTTTGCCCAAAGCGCGATGTTCGCCGCTATTTCGACCCGGAAACTAAGTTTCGGATTCAAGGTTCGATACCTTATAGCGAGGAGTTGCGCTGTTAATTTGTGTCGTTTGTATATTTTTCAGAACATTGATAATACTGCACTTTTTCTCCCACGTGGTTTCGTATATTTCGCCGCTTTTGGCTAGATTTTGTTTTGTCGTTCGAACAAGGTGCGGAAAGATGAAATGCGAAGCACGAGTGTAAGTACCTCTCGCCTAGAGTTTCTCGGCGACGAGCAAACATAACGAAGCGGAAGGGTCACTCCACGATAGCGTGAATACGCACCTATATTTGAAAAAATTGTTCAGCCAAGATGGCGGGCAGTATGTGTCTGTTGAATGCAGGTGGTGTTGAAGCGAAACAACTGGTTTCAGCTAACATCTTAGCCTTTGTGGATCAGCTTCGTTCGCTTCAACGTTCAACAAGTTCTCTGTTAGGTTGTTGAATGTACATTGTGGGGCAACTACGAAATTTTAGTTTTTCGTGTCTTGTTTTGACGTAGTCTGGCCGCAAAAACAATAACTTTTCTCTTAGTCTATCACGGTTGAATTTTTTTTCCGTGTTTTGATCGATATGACTTTTCACCGACCGCAGATGCATTCAAAGTAGGTTTACAAAAGTTGATTGATCGCACGAAAGTTAGAATTGATTCTCACTTTTGAAACTAAATTTTAGAGAGTAAACGTTAAATTGTTGCCAACAAGAAGTGATTAAATGAAAGGTTCCTAAACAGAATTACACCTTGGATACTTGAAGGTCAAATTCAATTTAAGTGAATTCCAGGTTTTATATTTTTAATTTTTGTATTACTTTCAGGCTACCATCAAGAGTGCCACCACCCCGCTATACCAGCAGAAGCTTTAGAGTTTGATGCGCCCTGGATGTGCGTGTATTGTTCAATCGGCGCATTTTGTCCATACCTGGAGAATCCATTTGAATCCAAACCTGCTAGGAAAGGAGTCAGAAAGACCAGAATCCACACGGTAAAACGATCATGCTTTATAGTGGCAATAATCAGCTAATTTACCTAACGTAACTAGCTGCAATGTTCGTTTTCAATAATTTCGTTTTACTTTCCGCAGTCGCAAGATTAGTATAGTTGATTGATTTCGAAAGACTCGTTCCCGCAGCCGGATATTAAATGTGTTAGCGAATCATATTATATAGAAGAAAAACAAACAGTGCCTTTCTAGCCCACAAAAGATACCTATCTTTCTTGGCGCAGGTTAAATTTTCACCTAAGGTTGCAAGGATGCCTAATAAACTTTATTATTATCATTATTATTATTATTATTATTATTATCATTATTATTATGCAGTATACACGTTTGGATGCTAGTGAGCTAAGCAAGATAGGGCGAAAATTCGTAACCTATCTGCATGACAGGACTGTTAACTATAATAATATCTAATACTACTTAAATATAAATGATCAATATAAATCGATAAAAGTGTCAATTGGCCCAATACTAAGATAATTTTTTTTTATTTTTTTTTTATTTTTGTATTTATTATTATTATTATTATGATTATGATTATTTTTTAATGTTGTTTATTTATCGTGTTTTTTTTCTAACATGTTTGAAATCCTGTCAATTTCTCAGTGGCGAATTGGCACCATGGTAACCGACACGTAAATTGTTACGGGCTGCAAGTAAGATTTCCTCCTCAGTGTTTCTTGACGACATCGTCAGAAAAAAAAAAAAGGAAAACAGATAGCAATGAAGAAATTCTCGCTTTTCATTGCTTTCTCTCCCTAATACATGTAAAACAAAATAGCGGTCGTTTGATAGATGCTAAATTACAGTTAAAAGTAATTGCTTTACAGCCAGCACCCAGTTGCTACGTCTACTCTTTTGTAGCAAATTTGGTGGAATGCCTTCCATAACGACTCAACATCGCGCTGATATAAGAGGGCAAACTGAACACGCCATAACACTTCACGCTTCGTTCAGGGAAGAAAACTGTTTGGAATTAGTTTCCGGTTTTTGTATCAACAGTAAGGCAGATGTTACCACCGGTGCCATGGGAACACAGTTAAGTTGCTTCTAAAAGCGCACAAAAGTTTTCACAACGCCAAGAAATGTGACAACCATACCTGACTCCAATGTAAACACAGATTTTCTCTCTACAGTCCTCGTGGATTTGTATCAACAGTTCTTATACGAATTTGACTGTCGATCAGCGAAGTTTATTTTGTTATCTGTGTATTTGCCTTTTTTCTTTTGATTTTATCATTGATAAAATGTTGAGTTATTAATCTCTGTGATAGTCAATGTTTACATTTTGAGACGAATCGTGGGCTAAGTAACGATATTTCCGTGAAGATATTCAATCAATACGTACATTCGACCATCAGAGTTTGATAAGCACGGCCTTGTGTTGTGTGTTCCATTTTAAATCACTCTTCAGGTATCCTTGACTTTTATTTCAACGACTTGGCCTCATTAGTGAATCCTCTTATATTTTGAATGGCCTTTTAATTTGCGGTCTGAATTATATCACCGTAATATCACTTCGGTATAAGTCTGTTCCAACGTGCCGAAGTGAACTATACCAAAAGCATTTCGCAATAATCCGTAATTTCTTCTGTTGGTACAATACATCGAATAGAAACATTTTATCAAAACTCAGTTCCGTTTTGACGGAATCGCGAAAATAAGAACCACTGTGGCCAGAAAAATAAATAAATCCTTATACAATCTTTAGCAGAGGTCCAATATTAATACAGTCAGCCTGATATAAGCTTGATGTCTTTGTTGTTAGTTACCAGCAAATGTAACGAAATGATGTTGAGCCTCTGTATACTTTTATCGTATGTTGAGCCTCTGTAGGCCATTACTGTATTTTTTGTCCTAGAGCTGTCAATGTGAAAATGCCGGCCACACTTTTTTTCGGTTTATTGCTTGTATTTTGGTCAAATATTGTAATTTTTTAGAAAAATTTTTAGTTAAATTTTGGCTGAAATCGCTCTAATTTTTTCAATGGTCTTTCGTTGCGTCGATGCATACTTGGTCGTGTTGCAAAGGCTCAGTTTCATTCATTTCATAAATATTTTACAAGTTTATTTATTTACTTTTTTTATTCAGTCGGCCATCCATTATTTATTCGCTTTTTGTATTGATTTATTTGTTTGTCGACTGTGTTAGTTCTCGTTATTGACTTCGTGAAACAGAAAGGTGTTCCCAAAGAAACGTGATTGTGCGTGCCCACGCGTGGTCAACGCGGGATCACGCATGCTGCAGGAATTACGTCAATAGCATTACTTTCTGAGAAGAAAAGTTGAAGTAGCTTTGGAGGGCTGACAATCCTTTAGCCTGAGGGCTCTGAAGAAGGTTAATTTTAGTTCAAAGGGATTATATTTGATGTGGACATTAGACGGTCGTGAAAATTAATCCTTAGACGAATTTTGCCAAAGTATGTTGGATCAATCGGTCCGCCACTTAGTGAAGTTAAAATCGCCGCCCATCTAATCACGAAACGTCGCGACTGAATTAGAAAGTGAGTTGAACAGAAAGTGAAGAAAAGAGAGTGAATCACAGACTGGCTGATACTCGTCTGAAAGTTTCCTGAAACAACTACAAAAAGTAAGGTATTATTTCTTCATTCTACCCATAGTTGTGGAGATAAGTATTTCGATCAGAAATTTCCTTGCCTTGAAAGAATCGCTTTTTTTTTGTAAGCGACTGCCTGTTGAGTTCTTGTTTTGTTTAAACGGAAGAAAGAATTATTCTAATGCAAGCATCAGCGCAGAGGACATTCCGTATACAGGAAATCGAAATTATTCGAAATAACACACTGAAGCGATTAGATTTCTGGTGGAAAACTAGATATCGAAGGTTGCTTTAGTCTGGAAACTTGAGCTTCTTCCCTAAGACTTAGTCTCCGATGAATTACATCGTATTGATTGTGGCTAATACCAAGTTCCTTGAATGCTTTTTACGGATCTCTGTAGATTCGCTGAACGTGTTCGTGCGGGGTACCAAATTAAACTCTTTGTGTTTGGAGGACGGTCGCTAAATCACTTAGCATTCAACTTTACTTTGCGAATAATTTATAACCAGAGGATCGGCTCAGTAGGCCAATACATCCCGGAAGAAGGTCAATATATGATATGTTATGTGCGGCGCCACGATTCTGCTCTGCGGAGGTCTATTTAAGGCAACTATACACACAAGTTGAAGGGTCATTTGACCCCGTACGTGATGTGTTGTGTGTTGGAGTGCTTTCAACTTTCATGGATTCAGTTTAGTAGCTTTCGCTGAATAGCCCTTAAGCGTGTTCTGGGCGAGTCACGTTCACTTGGCTACGAGAACAATAGATGGAACAAAGGATAGAAATATGTTACGTAAGATTAGACAAGAACACAATCGCTTGCTTTTGTCTGATCTGTCTGATTCTTGTTTATTTTCTGCATAAGCTGGTCGTTGCCGGGTTTTAGCTGTTGCTCTCCTGTGTTATGCCATGACAGAGGTTTTAAAAATAGATTAGTTAGAAACTGTCAGTAATTGTTTGTTGAAAGGTTTGACCCATGGTTTAATGTTCCGCTAGAGCGCGCTGGAAGACGCTCTTGTTGTTCCACGTCATCTCTCAAAACGAAAAAGTAGTCCTAATAGCTGAAGGATAATCATCTTATATTTGAACAAATATGACTCGGCATACCAGCCGGATATGTTATTTACCACTGAATGTATATCAGTACATGAACACGGGCCGATCTTGAGGCGAAAACGCTGCCGAATATTGCGGTATTGTTGATAAATAATTGAAGTGGATGGTATCCGCTTACTGTATTTGTTCTACACGCAAGTATTGCGCTATTAAGCCCCACTGATAGTGCGTGTTTTTACGCAATGTAAGTAATCTATAGTGGGTCGAAAAATAGCCATTTCCTGATGGTCGACTTGAGCGAAGCGCGTTTGATAAAATGGAACCCATTCAAGAACAGGATATCGTTGTGCAGGATTTGCTGCTGTTGTGGTAAATTGACCGCGTTTAAGGTAATACAGTTGTGAACCAGTTTGTGGTGTTTGGAGTTTCTTCGTTTTATTTAACGGCGCCAGTAGCTTGATATCGGTATATTCCTGAAACAAGAAACGTGATATTGATAATACGGCATCTCAAGTGGCACTTGATAGTGATATTGATCGAGGGCACAAACTGGGTATTGAAGGCTGCCATTACTGATAGAGGCAGTCGTGAATTAAATAGTTGTGTTTTCTATTATAATACTTAATCTAAAAAACAACATTGTGTCGTGTCACTCGGCAGAGCTTTTCGGTATCTTATGGCTGTGGGAAGATTAGTCTTTAAATCTTGTAAGGGCGAGATTTTGTGGCTGTTTTTAACAAGATTTTGACCGGTTAGGCAGCAGTAACATGTTGTTTGCCCGAAATTTCTTTCATCACAGCACGCTAAGTCAGGTAAAAACTTTGTGTTTAAGACTGACTAACTGTGAGTCGTCGGGAAGTGACTCAGCAGTAACTAGGCGCAACAGATAAATATTTCGTACTAAATGGAAATACAGTCTGAGTGGTTTTCTTTAATTTTTTTACAGCTTAAGTCCGGAGAATCGTGCGTGAGCTCAGGAAATTCAACAGAAGACGAGAAAGATTTGCCCGCAAGGGAGAGTATTAAGGCAAGCGAGGTGGTCTCGCGCGGGATGTCGAGCTATTACTTTTCCTCGCACATGCATCCACGCGAAGGAGCGAAGGTACGAGGGAGGCCAACGTTCGGTCACAAGTCCAAATCATCCGGTGGGGATAAACGCGCGCGAGGGAACAGCAAACCCGCCGCGCGCTCGGGTGTGCGGGAACGTGACCAGTATTCCGATAGAAACTCTGAATTTGACTCAAATCAGCAACGGAAAAGCTCGCATCATTACCAGAGACATGGTAACGACTTGCCCGCCCGGCATTCAGGACGTTATGGTTCCCCTGTACGGAATGTAAGGCTTCTGGAGGATTCTGAGGGAAGGAAACTGTCACCGGCTAGAGAACAGGGAAGCAAACGATACCAACAAACCGAGGAGAATAAAGCAGCCAAAGTGATATCTTCTCACAGGCGCGATGCGCCGCGGGAAAAACAAAGACTAACCCAGGATTTGGCACGACAGAAGAGATTATTAAGCGAAGATATTGCTCGGGCAGAACTGTTGCAACGTGAACAACTTACCAAAAAATTTGTAGATATATTTGACAACAGGAAAGAAAGTGTTGGAACGGAATTAGCAGCCGTTGAAACGGATGGCGAGAAAGCTTCGACAGAAAACATTCACGATCAGATTTGTAACGAAGGAGAGAATGATTGCAATCATGGAATGTATGAACGGTGTTACGGAGACCACTCCCCCGAGTACAATAGTGAACATGATAGCGACGATGTTTGTAAACTTTCAGGCGAGCGAGAGTCTTTGTTTGATAGATTCTTGCGTAGAGGACCTGTGCAGGAAATGAAAAATATCGAGTTTGTGAATGAGAGTAAAGTTGAGGTAAAAGGATTGCGTTACAAGAATAACTTGTTGGAAAACTCTTCGTCTGGTGGGAGGCAGTGTGAGGCAGATACCATCACCAACTCTGAAGTTAGAAATACGCTTGAACTCCAGCTTGAAAACGTCTCTGATGACGACGAGCTACCTTTCAGTGATGCTGATAAGGAAGAAACTCTTTTGGAAAACAGAAAGGTTTCTACCAATGGACTCAACTCAAATGGCGGAAGTCCAACGTTTGCGGAGAACACGAGCCCGGTCGAAAATGGATTAAATTCAACGTCTGAAATAAAATGTAACGGCTTAGAGGAAAAACGCGACTCGGTAGATTCGCCATTGAAAACTGACTTAATCAACAATCTTGGCTACGCGCCTTGGGAATGCTCAAGCGAAGGAGGAACTTCGAACTGTGATGACAAAGCTATTGATGGCAGCTTTGCATATGACAACATAGAATGTCTACCGCCTGACGACCCAGATCACAGCAGTATCAAAAGTTCAAAAATTGCGCGCCTTATGGAGGAGCCCGATATGCAGTGCGAGCATTCCACTAAGAATGTTCACGATTGTGAGGAAAACGAAACTCTTGAAGTTTCCTCCTGTGGCGCTTTCAACGAAAATGACGATGAAAATGACGATGAAAATGACGATGAAAATGACGATGAAAATGACATAAAAAATGGCGACACTGATGCATGGATCGGTCGCGTGAGATCATCGGAAATAAATGTTACAAAGTCGAATGAATCGAGTGAAAAAGAATGGCATGAAAACGAGTTTAACAGCGAAGAATTAGCTCAGAAGGCAGAAACCTCTGATCAGCAAATCATAGATGAAAACGCTGAAGTCATGGAAATGGAAGGCTCTGTGAAACAAGAAAAAGAAACGGAGCAGAACGGTTCGTTCAGTACCGAACAAAACTCTGAGAATGTTACCAACGAATCTGAACTTTCAAACGTGGAGGGTATGTCGGATGCGGGTGAGCTCAGTGAACCAGAAAATCTAACCCCACCGGCCCGCGGGAAAATAAAGAAGAAGAAAAGGAAGAAGTCGAAAACTAACAAGAACGTGCATAAGCTAGTTTCCCATAAACCACGGCGGAAAGCCAAAGGAGGGAAAGCTCGCTCTGCTGTTAAAGACGCTTCAACGAGTAAGAGCGTTAAACAAGTTGATTCAGAAAGCGACGATGATGCATCACAGAATAAAAACAGAGATGCATGCCAAATAACAGTGCAAGCGGAGGAAGATAAAGGGCTTGTGAGAGAGACTCCAAACATGGATGATGACTTTATGACCTCAGGAGGCTCCCCGACCCACCCCTCTCTGGACAACGAAACCGAGTCGGCCAGCTTCAAAGAAAGTTGTCAGGTTGAAGAAAATGATGATAACAAACGGTGCAGCGATGGGCGATCGCTGTCGCCGAACGAAGAACGCTTTAGCGCAGACGCTTCAGAAGAAATCTTTGGCGTGGGGACTGCTGGTTCAGATAATTGCGATAGCGCTCATGAAGCGAGCGCCCTTTCAGACTCACAAAGAAGTTCAGTGGAGGCAAGTGGAAGGAAAGACATAGGAAGGAAGGAAAAAAGAATCGGAAAGACCAAAAGAAAAAGTGACGAGAAAGACAAAGATAGAGAAAGATCAACTCCACCTCATCTTATCAGTCAAAACCGATACGCACGTGATCTGCCGAGGCATAACTGGCTTGTGGAACGGCTGCTGCAACAGAACAAACTGTGCGCTGAGGATACTGTGCAGTCTGCAAAAGATGCAAAGGAGGAGCAAGGCAACGAAGGTAACCAAATCATCAGAGAGAACGAGCTCTCTCCTTCTGGAGAAAACGAGAACGCTGTAGATAAAGACATCGTGAGAACGTCGCCGGTTCAGTTATCGCCCGAAAAACCCGAAAAACCAGAAAACCGTAGCGCATTTTCTCCAAAACAACTCAGCGATCATGAAGATCCCACAACTTCACCGAAGGACGACTTTCAAAATGAACTTCGTCAGAGTTTCTTGCGAAGAAAATTTCCACCAAATGTACCTAAAACGTTGCCTCGACTTAAACCATCCTCACCTGAATCCACCGGCGGAAACGAAAGTGGTTTTAAACCAACGGATAACAAGCCCCCCCCACCTCCATTGAAACACACCTTACCGTCTAAGGAAGCTTCTGGTTTGGAGCCTTTACCAAAGCTCCGAAAGATTGTACCTGAAAAAGAAGTTTTCCACGAACCGCTCCAGGATAAAGAGGGATTGACGTCAGGGACCCCAAGAAATAGCGAACCAGCTTCGACTGAAACAGAGCAACAGCGTAAGGTTATCAGCCCCATCGAGATTCTCGACGATGATGATGAGAAAAAGAAACGTGGACTGGAAGAAACACGAGAGGTTAGTCATAGCTCAAAATCAAGCTATGAGCAGTCCAGCACCAAACATAACGATTCAAGCCAAAAGGAAGGACACAAATCACCTCCAAAATCAATAAGCAATTCTCCCCCTGATAAAGCAGTGCCTTACTCTTCGCTAAAGAAGCCTTTTGGTGCTGTGACTCCTACCATTCCTGGAAGTATGAAGGAGAAATTCAGCCGCCCTATGCACGTGCCACCCCATCGCGCCGCCATTTTGATTCCTGTTGTCCCGATGCATGATGGGAATGGCATGCCTATTTCACCAGGTCTCGGTCCAACCTCGCCCCATTTAAAGAGTTACTCACCCAGAACGTTCACACCGCATCTTCTAACCCACAGTGGAGCCATACCTGGGCCTGGAATGTTTGGTGGTCCTTTGTCACAGGCAGGTCGATACCCCGCAACCAACTGTGGACACCACATGCACGGAAACATGAAGTCAGGAATACCTTGTAAGCGGGACGTGAACTGCCCTTTCCATGGCAACAGCCCTAGAGGTATGCACTTGGACATTCCTGGTCATCATGGCCCAGTGCGCGCCTTTGGCCCTCACAGCCACGACCATTTGTCTGCAGTTATGTCACGTGATCGTCGTGAGTGCGACAAAAGCCAATGCCGACAACCAGAATTTCAGGCGTACCAGCCGGATAAGCAGTCCCCACCCGATAGAGACACTCTAGGGGACAAAGCAAACCTCCAGACACCCAAAGTGGTAAAGCCCATTGCGCATGTCCCAGGAAAGCGCCCTCCACTGATGCTGTCCCATCTTCAGCAAATTGGGAAGCATTCCCCTGCAAGTCTGAGAGAACTTGAAACTTTACATGACGATAAAGTCCGCCGCTTCGGAAGCGATCACTTGCTTTCTCCCCATCAACTCCAGAAGTCACCTGAAAGATCTCCCAGGGAACGCGTGGTACCTCACATGACCTCACTGTACGAGCGGAGACCCCTCCATCAGCCTCTCACTTTGTCTGATCTAAATCGCAGAAGAGAAGAAGAAATGTTACGGATAAAGATTGACGAAGGCGTCAAGGTGCATCCAGGGGAACTTGTTGTCTCTGGCCTCACTTCTCCTTCCCGCGGACCAGCCAAGTTTACAACCCCTCCGCATTCAAAGGATTCTACCTTAATCTCTCCCGGGCGGGGACCGAGCTCGACTTCCATTTCGCCAGTAGACAAGAGGGATCAGGCCGTTTCATTGAGACGTCTAGTAGACGAAAGGAAGCCTGGCTCTATCACGGGTGAATTTATCAAGCCTGGACCTCCACGTCTTCGACCATTGGATGAAGCAGATGTAAGAGTGTCCTCTGATAGGCAGAGGCGTGAGGAGTTGAGTAGAGGATATTCGTCACCATTGCTAAGGATGCATTCAGCCAAAGAAGCAAGCCCTCGAGATGTAGAAATCTTAGAACATGCTGGTCGACTGGAGAGAGAGCGAAACGCCGATTCTTCGCACGGCAATTCTAGCATCACAAACCCAGGCCTTCGACTGTTGGATGAAAAAGTGAGACAAACTAGTAATAAAGAAGAACGTGCAAGAGAAGGCCTCAGTCCCGAAATGGAACACAGGCTCCGCTTAGAGCAATCAGGAGAGCTCAAGGCAAGAGGCACAAATTTAGAGCTGTTTCAACTCAAAGAAAAAGACCCAAGAATGGATTTGAGAGACAAAGAAGGCACCAGGATACCTGTCTCCGAACGAGAGCGCCCTGAAGACCTCTTACTACTCCGTGCTGGAGATAGTGGGAAGAGGTCGAGAATGCCATTTAATATCTCGCCTCCTCTCCGTCAGAAAGCTTATCCAGACAGACCATTTCCGATGTCTTCTTCTGTCCAAGGAAGGATGGACCCTAGAGTGGATCCCCGGATGGCAGCTCTACATGAGTTAGAGATGCATAGGCGTGGTGAAGCAGTCAGAGGGTCGGAAACGTCTCATCGCGAGCTTCTCAGTCGGATGGCTTCATCCTTGCCTATGAGTAAGGGCGGATCCCAGAGTGCAAAGTCCGTTTTTGTCCGACCAGATGGTTCGTTGGAGCGACGGGGGCCCGAATCCATTCGATTGCCCTCCGATATTCACATGTATTCCCCACCCAGTTCCCTTGTTTCTCGGGAATATGGTCTCGTGATGAACTCACGTCAAGCCATGGAACGTCTGGCTGCTGCAGCTGGGAAGCCTGCGGGTCTCTTAGCAGAGGTTGGTAAGAATGTGCCACCTCACATCAGACAGGTGAGTGCAATAATAAGAGAGCAAATCTACCTTGCAAATCTAAATGTCATGTATACATTATATAGTTGAAAAAAAAAAAAAACAAAAAAAAACAACAACAACAAATAAACAAAAGCTGATTATTATGAGTATAATGTAGATCATCGTTTCAAAAATTTTCCTGATTTCAGATTTGAATTAGTCAAGTGAAAATGTACTTTTAAGGTAACCGCGATAGTTTCCACCTATCAAAAGTCCTTGGAACAGTCCATAGCCACAGTACCTTTACAGGCAATAGAAACGTTTGAACTGTTGGACGGTGTATTAATTAGATCTATTATTTGCCACTACCTTGATAGGACATTGAACGCGAGAGAGAGCGGGAAAGACAACGACTGAGTCTGGAGCAAATCGAGGCCAACAGAAGACTTCTTCATGCAGAGCTCAAAGACAAAGTTAACCCTCTTGTGTTCAGCAAAGAACATCAACTGAGAATGGAACAAAAGCGAGATCACTTGGACGCAATGAGAGCGCGTGAGAAACGAATCACAGATCACGAACGCCTTCTCTTCATGGAAAGAATCGCAGAGGAGAGAAAACGAAGATTCAGTGAAATCGACTGTCAAGGTGGAATTATTATGCGGCATCCTTCTCCCCCACAGTTCAGTCACGTATCGGATCGCGAGGAGTACGAGAGAGTGAAAAGACTGAAACTCATGGAACGTTCAATTTCTCCGTCCGCTCAACATTCCAAGCACTTGAGCTCCAGTGCAAATGTGCTTAATCTTGAAAGGAAAGACCGACCTGAGATCGCGAGTCCCAAAAACCTTATAGGGAACTCTTCTCAAGTAAGAGACAAACTGAGTGAAGCTGGTGACGTCAGAGTCAGTCGTCCTCTGGAAAATGAACATTTGAGAAAAGCGGCAAACAGTGCGATGTTTGAACGGGATTCTCTGTGGCATCGCAATCGTGACCAAGCAGTGAGACCTAGTCAAGCAGTTATTGATCGTAAAAGAGCTGAAGCGCACATGAATGCTCCTTTACAGGGGCTCATGGCCTCCAAGGCAGGTCCCCTGACATCTCAACGGGAGGAAAATAAAGGCACCGGGAAGGCGGAACATGATGGAGTTAACCGCTGCTCAGTGTGCAAGCGTGAAGCGTCGTTCCTGTGTTCTGGCTGTCAGGCGGCTTGGTACTGCAGCTCAGAGTGTCAGGTAAGAAAGCTAATCACGCCTTTGATTTTAGTATCAAAATTAGCGTGTTGGTTCTCTTCGCAATATAATTAGTAATACATTTTCCAAAAAGCAATTCATTAGAATCGTTCCAGATTCCGGAAGGTCTGAGGTTCGCCTGTTGTAAGGAACATCTTCCTTTCTTACTGAGTAATGTTATTCAACCCAAAATTTTAGTGTTTGCATTATTGATCTAATTAACAAATAAATTCCATATTGCCGCGCGTCTGCGCAGTAATAGATCCCATAAGACTGATGTTCTTACCTCGTTTTGACGTTTACTGTAATCTTACCTCGTTTTGACGTTTACTGTAATCTGTTACTGTATAGACAAACGACCTATTATAGCTTTATGATGAAGGAGCAAAATGCTCTGAATTATGTCGTCCTTTATGCCTCTGTCCTCCAGAGTAAGAAGGAAGAACCAATCAAGAAGCGCGTATAATTCAGCTTATCTTATAAAATAGAATAGTGGCATGCAGTTAGCTTATGAAAAATAATATTTTTAAACTTGCAGCTCTCCGCGTGGGGAACACACAACAGGGAATGTAACCAAAATAAACGTCCGTAGTTCACTTCAAGCTCCATATCTTTTCATCGTACCTCCTTTGCACGACTCAACACATGGTGTTTTGAACATTATTGCGCCGGACAGTTCAGCTTAAACGATTGTTAAATATATATATATATTTACAGCACCTTGTTAGTCTTAAAAAGAATGTGTTGACGAAAACTGGCTGAAATAATGGTTGGTTAACATACACGAAGAAATGCAGTGAGTTGAAGTGTTGATATAAGCCTCATATCAGTGACAAGTCGAGGCCTGTGAGCAGGCCGTCATTATGAGCGCTTTAGCACGAGTGTTATCTTCTCCCGCGGGAATGTATGAGATCTGGAGCCACGCCAGCTGGCGAGATGACAGCAAGGGCTCAGGCACTAGTGCTAGACTTCCAGTAAGCCTACCCCTGACTCGTCTCAAGTCTTCCAGCAGGCGCAGAAACGCGCGACCTCCAGCGCTGATAATGAGGGCCTGGCCGTAAGCTAAAGAATTTTAAACCGAGTTTCAGCGACGGCACAAAAGAAGATGACATGAATATAAAAAGGATTTAATTAACAGTTTAGGCTTAGTGCAAACCTACTATCTTGGGTAGTCATGGCTTATGGCTGTTTCTGAATTGCGTTGAAAGAATGACGTATAAACCGTTCTCTAGACACAGATTTCTAACCTTACAGGCGGTTTCCGTTTATGAAGACAATGTTTTTTTCATTCATTCTTTCTTCCAAGCCCATGTGTTGTATATAGCTTTTTTTACCGAAAAAAAAGAAACGAATTTGGGTTTCTATTTAACCCATAAGATGGCGGCCACAAGTTAGCGCTGAAGATGTTAACTTGGGGGAAAACTTCATAAATTTGTTCACGCGAAATTCACGGCGAGTGAGATTTCCTTAGATTTTATTCATCTAAAAATTAGTAAAAAGTAACTCTACGTTGAAAACGAAGAAGGAAATACGATTTGTTCAAAGAAATGTAATCGGTAGCTTCACCTTCATCACGTCTTTCGCGGAGTTTTATTAGTCATACAAACGTAGTACGTAGTAGTATCCTTGGAAATGTCCCCACAATCTCGTTCGCAGACGTCTATTGCTGTATCACGCAACGTGTCACGCAACTTAGAGGAACTTTGCGTGAGAAACCAAGGATTGGCTGCGTAGGAGACAGGAATTGCTAGTAAGGACCGCTCCTCTGGCGTCTTGAATATTGGTGTAAACTAAAATTTAAAACGAATTTCAAATCTTTAATTTAATTTATGTCAGACATCTATTTATGTATGTAAATCTTAAATTATGTTGGATTAGAAGTGTAGAGTTTTTGTAAAATGTATTTATTTCTGGATATAAATCTGTGTCCATGTATAAAGAAAAAAGATAAATGTCGTTTTAAGAAATAAAATGCTTTGCATTTAAAGCATGGTTTGTCAAGAGATTTCTAGCAATCATACATCAACGTAGACCTTAGATCCTTCGAGCACCCTGACTGGTTAAGAACTTACTGTTCCTTTGTTAAACCGACCTCGTGACTCACTTTTTTCGTGTTTTTCCAATATTCCGCGTGGGTTGTTACGCCGGTGAACTAGTAGAGAGTGCGTTTCTTATTGCTTAATTAGATTTCTCCAGATGCCACGTGTTCTTTGAAAACTTTCTTTCTTAATTGGGCTTTTTCAGTAGCGTAATGTAAATTTTGATAGCGCTTCGGTCACGGTATGACCATAACTTCTGATTTGTTTTCTTTAATTGAAAGCTCCGTCAGTGAAAACGGGAGAAATCTTTCAAGGTTTTACGTCCACATCAAGAAACTATATCACAGTCAGGAAATCTGTTCTTTCATCATATGCTTGGTCCAGTTGTAGCTTTCGAGGGATGCATTTTCCTTTATTAATCTTATATGTTCCATTGTTTCTCTGTTTCACTGCTCCACTTCTCCATTGCTACACTGTTCCACTCACTGCTCCACTGCTCCATTGCTCCACTGTTCCAATGTTCCACTGTTCCAATGTTCCACTGTTCTACTGTTCCACTGTTCTACTGTTCCACTGTTCTACTGTTCCACTCTTTACTGTTCTACTGTTCCACTCTTTACTGTTCCACTGTTCTGCTGTCTCACTGTTCTTCTCTTCCACTGTTCCACCGTTCTACTGTTGTACTGTTCTACCGTTCCACTGTTCTATTCTTTCACTGTTCCACTGTTCTACTGTTCCACTGTTCCACTGTTCCATTGTTTCACTGTTCCTCTCTTTTACTGTTCCACTGTTCATAATTCATTATTGCATCGTCCTCTTAACTTTAAGGAACCCTGGGTGAATAACAAACTGAATTCAAAATTTTAGATGCCTGACTACCAAAATAATCAACAACAGGAACATCAACAACAAAGACAATGGAAGAGGACCTGCATATCTACATCTCATCCTCGTTTTGCAAAGAATATTGCATGGCCACGCGTGGATATACACTTTGTCCTTGAAAAGATAAATCGTTCGAATGAACGTGTACATGTAATGCTCTGTATATTTTGAAAATATATATTCATAAAATATTTAGGTACTCCTTCATCGCCTCCCTAGACAGTGTAGTTGTTGACATTTTTTGAGAGTGCTTTTGAAAGAACTCTTCCTTGAGTCACTGGGATCTCCACCAGTTTTGATAGTGGGTACATGGTGAAATCCTTCATACATGCATCAATACAGAAGAACATATGGGAATACATGGTCATTTGCATTCATTAACATACATTATTTTTTTTTCTGGTCTGATTTTCGCTATTGCATAAATAGCGCTCTCTACTGCGAGAATCTTGTATTATACGTATACATTAAGGATTACACCAAAGTACTTACCGTTTCGATGGCTTTACGTCCGATGACCGCAAGCTGCGATTTACGTGACCTGGCGTCGACCGTGACGAAAAATCGATCAATCGTGACCCACAATTCTCTTCGAACGCGGGTTCGACGGTCACAGTATAACGTACGTGCTTAGAATGTCTTGTAAAGCATGCGATGAGTTGTTTGACATTCCTCCACATGTGTAAGGCTTCCACCATTACAAATCTCTCCTGGCCATGAGTGTGCTATTTACGGAGGAGGAAGTACAGCAGACAATCGAATTCTTGCGTCGATTTGTGGCGCTTCGACCCGACGCTTTCGGAGAGGACGAACCGCTACCATTTCGAGTTACCCCTCTATCAATTTCTATCAATGAATTGGAAGGAGAGAGCATTGAATGGTGCACGCAGTACCTCGATAAAAGGTAAGGGCTGTCTAAGATCCTAGTAGATTGATAATTGAGCCATTTTGGCGTGAGATAGCTGTGTTTACTTTCGAGTGGAAACTGTCCTTCGTGTTGTGTGTGTTTACATATAGGTTTGAATACTGCAACGGGGATTGGAATTCAAAAACCTTCTGTTTGAAAAATTAAAATGATTTATGACCCCTGTCGTTTTGTAAAGAAAGAAACACTTTTCACGCTTGAGATTGTTTTGTGTGATTGTGGTCTCGGACGAAAAGAAACCAAAGAATTTGATTTAACAAGCTTGGACGGTAATAGAATTTATTTTTTAAAGCGATTTTCTGCCCGAGGTGGGATAAGCTCGTTCAGCAAAGTTAATTGCATCAATATTGTTTTATTTTGAGCGTGTTTTGAGCAAAATTGCTTCATTATGTTTAAAGTAACAGGTTTGAGTGCGTGTACGTGTAATAAGTTTACCATCGCCTCAAAGTTCAAAACGTGTCATTCTATCGCCAATATTTTGGTTGTCAACGTAAGTCGCCGATATCTTTCAGATATAGACAGTATATGAGTTACAGATCGGACAGTCTATATTTATCATGGGTGGGTGTTGATATTATCTTTTCGATAAAAGCTAGGTCAAACGAAAAAAAAATTATTAAAAGAATATTGCAGGGTCAGGGCGATTTATTCTTGTACGAGAATTTTCAAAGCGTACGGTACAGTTAAAAGTTTATGATTACACGTACATCGTTTCGAAGGAAAAATAATTTCTACTTGACTAAAATATCAGCACATATTTGTTGCATACTGAATAAACGTAAATTCAAGTCATTCTTATTTTGGTTGCCATCACTACCCTGCTGAGAGAAAACCTGTATTTGATCATATTTTTCTGACAGAAGAAAGACAACTTTTTATTTTTTTTAAAACAAAAGCTTGAGCTTAAAAACCAATGCCTAGACTTTGATAAGAATGAGGTGACTGTATTAAGAGCTGTTCTATAGTCCAAGGGTCAATAAAAGAAATTTTATTTGCTTATTCGTAATAAGACTTGCATGTAAATATGCTTAAAGGTAAATTGGTAAAAAGTCCAGGGCTGTGGTCTAACAACACCCAGTGGTCCCTGGTGCCTTACTTTTGCTCTTGGGTGACTCAGGAATCTTAGTTTTTTTCATAAAAAGCATATGCTGGGCACCCTGGATTTCACAGTTTGGGAGCACTGGGCTCCCTTCAATTTTTCTAAGAGCACAGCCTTTAAGTCTCTAACCCTTTCATACTAGCAAAACATATTTAGTTAAACCTGGTTTAACTGAATTAAATTCAGAAACAAAAAACTGAAAAACAGGTATCAGGTAACTGTTAACATTTCTTTTCATTGTGTGCTGTAAAGTAGAGACAACGTCGTACCATTGAAGACTGAAGGTTTTAATAACAGGATTCGTACATATACAAGTACAAAAGTGATATACAAAAATGAATAAATAAGCTATATTAGCCATTAGACACAAAAGATGTACATGAAACTACACTGTATTTAAACTTAAATTATGCAGATTCCAAGTTTGCACCTGCCATAATTAAAGAGAGTTCTATGCTTGAAGTATTTTAATCACATGTTGCATCTACGGGATATATACGGTATATGTGCAACTTTTAAAGTTGACAAACTTTGGTTCAAGCGGCTTCAGTGATGCTAGCAAGTCAGCATGAAGTGACCAAGAGTATTGTGACTTGTGGGGTGCCTCTGTCCCTCCCTCCCTCCCTTTGCTTCTTTCCTCCTCCCAGACAGGTTTCCCAAGTAGTTTCTTGGTACACATCCATACATGTACTCCAGGGTGGAGAGGCTTAGCAACAATATGGTATCTTGCTTAAAAACATAGCATGGTGACCAGGCTAAGGTTTAGGCCAGTACCTTGTGAGCTATTTAAGAGTCTATTCATCCATATGAATTCTAACTCAGTTCTCTGACTATGATGTTTTCTTTTAAGTGGAGCTCCTGAAGCTGTTGCTGCACTTATAACTCGTGCAGCCATTAATAAAATCAGCGCAAAAGATCTTTCCATTTACAAGCAAGATGAGGGAGAAGATGCTTGTGAGTAGATACAGGATGCATGTGCTCCTACTTTATTATAGTCAACCTGTATTACTTGTAAGTGATCAGTTGTTAAAGTCCTAAAATGGTTTCCCCTTAACCCTTTAAATCCCAGAAGTGATTAGCCCGTAACTTCTCCCTATAATATCCATACATGATCCTACAAACAGGTAATGAGAATACTTAAACTTATCAGGTAGAAGTTGTTACCTTGATTGAACACCAAATTCTCATGATTAATTTACAAGGAAATGTGTAGCAGCTAGAGGGGAGAATTAACTATCAAATCTTGGGAGTTAGAGGGTTGGATACTGTAATTTCTACTTTTACTAAGTGGTCATGGTCACCTTTGACTGAGTCCCAACAGCCTATTTGTGACCTTCTTTGGGAAAATGTACACCAACGATATTCCGTTAGATGGTCTAGACCGTTAGCTATCCGTTAGTCATCCATTAGATAAATAAACGAAAACCGTTAGAGGCATTAGTCAATTCGTTAGCATCTTATCCCTAACCGTTAGAGCATTAGTTGAATTTGTTAGAGCGTAAGTTGAATTCGTTAGAGTGTCAGTTGAATCCGTTAGAGCGTTAGTTGAATTCGTTAGAGCATTAGTTGAATTCGTTAGAACGTTAGTTGTATCTGCTAGAACTTTAGCTCTATCCATTAGAGGGGTTTTGCAGTCCGTTACTCGTATCCGTTAGTGACGTTAGTAAATCTGTTAGTATCCTGATCTTTACTTGTTGGAGCGTGAGTCGTATGTATAAAGCATAAGCCGATGTATAATTGATTTTTTTCTCTCTTACCCTCTTGTTATATGGACTGTTGCATGAACTGACTAAAAAGTTCAATGTAGGATTCAGCTAGGGAACATTAATACCTTGCCGAGCTGTGTTGATGAAAATTCTTGATATTTGGTGTGCTCATGGCCTTCAGATCTATCGAAGTTAAACACTATTATTTTATTTTGGTGGAAGAGATTAAAAAATTATCCACGCTCTGTTCGCAATGTTTTCGTTCTTGGCTCCAGGCTTCCTTAAGGTTGTTACCCTGGTAACGGATAAATTCCAACTTAAAAAACACCAAGCTTTCAAAATTCTTGATTTAAAACTCGAAGTTCTCAGTATACCGAACGATATTCTTCAGCCAGGCAAAAGTTACAGTAAATTGTATGGAATAGAACTTCGATTAAAAGAAACTCGATATAATGAAATTCTCGTTATAACGAACGCAATTGAGGATCCCAAACGTAATATAACAAAAAATTATACCCCGGTTTAATAAAGTAGAAACGTGTATGGTGAATGCATTCGCAATTTCCGGATACTCTGTTTGGCAAATGCTGGCAGGTCACGTACGGAAATTTTCAGAATTCTCAGCACAGAAATCATCATTGTTGCAAAAAGTACGGTCTCTAGAATTATACGGTGCTCTAAGGAAAAGGAAGAAGGACTGCAAAAAGAAGACCGGTGCAGATGTCCATCGGATGTCCATAGCAGTTGTTTTGCAGAACGTTGATTTGCCCGTCTGAAGAAGACTTGATTCGCCTGATCATTGGTGATTTTCACAATCGTCAAAGCGGACTCTTTCTGCGTTAAAATCCTTCAGCCAGTTACCTGTTTTCAAAAAGACTTTGCAACACCATTTTACACTTCCTTGCTCCGTACTTTTTTCGATCGACCGCTTGTACCATTTTGGTGAACCATAAGGAGGAAAGTGAAACAGGCGGACCAACCATTAGTGCAGCAGGACAAACCGTTAAGACGTAGGGACAAAGCGTTAGAATGTTTGGATTAACCATTAGAGCTTTAGGACAAACCGGTAGAGCGTTAGGACAAATCGTTTGAGCGTTACGACAAACTGTTAAAGAGTTAAGACAAATCGTTTGAGCATTAGGACAAACCGTTAGAGTGTTAGGACAAATCGTTTGAGCGTAAGGACAAACCGTTAGAGTGTTAGGACAAATCATTTGAGCGTTAGGACAAACCGTTAGAGTGTTAGGACAAATCGTTTGAGCGTTAGGATAAACCGTTTCAGCATTAGGACAAACCGTTAGAACGTCTGAAAAGCCGTTAGCTATCCGTTAGTTTTCTAACGTTTAATGGAATATTGTTAGTGTACGTTTTCCCAAAGAAGGTCACATTTGTTTTGTTTTCACCTGTACTGAATGGTCACTTAAGTGGAGCCACCAAATTAAACCAAAAATATTCTCTCAAGGCACTTCACTTGAGTTCAATTGTCAGATTATCTTTCTTCTCAGGACTTTTAGGATAAAATGGTATCTCTTTTCAAGTGTTTGACCCCTATTCTGTGGAATCTGTATTTAGTGGTCAACCTGTATTAAGTGATCACCCCTCCATTTCCTGAGGGTGACCAGGGCTTGACACTAACTTATCAACTTACTAGCCAAGCGGTTGGGAACAACTTAGATGTTACAACCATTTTTGTTTGTTTATTTGCCAAATTAGCTAGTGGAAACCAAAAACCACTGGCCAAAACTGAATTTCTTCTAGTCTGTGGCTAGTTGGCTACTGTTAGTGTTGAACCCTGGTGACTGCTTAATTCAGGTTTGACTGTATAGCAAATTTATGCAGGTGTGTTAACCCTTTCACTCACAAGATCAGAGTATCACTTCTCTTCACTGTGCTCCGTACCATTCTTACAATTTTGGCTTTGAGAATTTGGGGTCAAATTAAACAATATAATCCCAAATTTTTATTTTCCTTTCTTCTCTTCGAAAATGTATAAATATTATAAGAGATTTTAATTTTTGGTCACCCATGTTAGTAAAAGCATCAAGGAATTATTAATAGTAACAGGAGAAAAGTAACAGGTGATTTTTCTCCATATATCAGTTAACCCTAACAGTCCCAGCAACCAAGACACAATTTCTCTGGATCAATATGTCACTATCTGTGCAACTGTGAACCCCCCTCCCCTCCCCTAGTCCAACAACAGTCACCTGATAACAAGTGAGGGTTTTGGTTGGGTTAGGGAGGGGTAGGTAGTGACATTGATCCAGTTTTGCTTTCAGTATCAACACACTGTCAGGTAGGCACAAGAGGAGAAGAAAGAAAAATATGAAAAAAGTCCAAGCTTAATTATCTGAATTTCTGCTGCTTCAACTTCAACCAGAAGCATGATTACATAATTCTGCCTGAAGTGAATATAATGAGGTACGTACCCTGGTCCGAGAGGTTCTCTTCTCTCTAAAAAAAAAAAATAGGATAAATCTCTTCTCGCTAAGAAACTTGGCACCAAGCGGTGACAATGAGCTGCGAAGCAGTGAGCAGTCGAGAGAACCTCTGGTGGAGACTGTTGAGAACCTCACTTTGGTGCATTCAGCTGTTTTTGACAGCTGATCAAATCTATCACTTTTCAACAGCCAATAGGAAATGTCAGTATCAAATGTTGTCGGCATTTAGCGCTGATTTTTTTAGGGAGAAGAGCTTTATCCTATTTTTTTTTTTTAGAGAGAAGAGAATCTCTGGGACCAGGGTAATAATGAGGAACAGTTGTTATCTAATGGATGGTGCAGATATGTAACCTTTCAATGTTTTGTCTTTTTTTGGTAGTACTGGACTCCTCCAGAATTGCCCGAGATGCTATAAATAAAGTTATAGAAGTTTGTAGGCAATGGAACAGTGAGCCACCCTCCTTTCAAAAGTCAAAGATGAAGTATGAATCATGTGCACATGCCATTAAGAACACCAGAAGAAAAATGGAGGACAGGCATGTTATCTTGCCTGAATTTAACAGTCTCTTTGGATTTCCACAGGTAATTTTGTACTCTTAAGATTGTGCTGAGGATGTCATTGAAATTTGTTCCTCTGGTTCCCCTAAGCTTTTATGAATCCTTTACACTTCAGAGTATGCAAGTTCTCTACACTGTTTTCTGTTATTTCCTATTGTTAAGAAGATAATTTGTCTAACCGTCAACATAATTTTTAAGTTTACGATCCTTTCCTTTATTCTCAAGACATGAGTAATACTGTTGTAGAAACACAGGAACTTATCTCTTTTGATGGCAAAAGGGTAAATAATATTTCTGATCCATGACCTGATTTGAATGGTTGTTAAACCTGTCATTCTCAGTAGAGATGAAATAAAACTTTCTCCCTACATTATCAATGCATTTTCCAGCAGAAAGGAGATGAGAAGAAGGAAGTACACAACCTAAAGGAAATTGAAATGATATCTTTCACTGAACTTGCCTCCCTGAATGTTAATATCGTGATTTGAGATTTCTTTTTTTGTCTTTTAATAAGGACTGCAGCAATCAAGCATTTTTCGCTGTATATGATGGTCACAGTGGAGTTGATGCTTCCAATTTCTCTGCTACTCACCTTCACTGTCATCTTGCAAGGAACAAAAACCTTGCTACTGATCCCAGACTGGCTTTGAAAGAAGCATTTGAAGAGACAGATGAGTGCTTTGTAGCAAAGGCAAAAAGAGAGGTAACATTTCTAGTCTGACAACAACAAACATATGAAACATATGTGTGAACTGCGGTTATGAGACGTATATGAGAACGATTCTTCGCAGTAAAGCACTCATATACATTTCTAGTCTGGCTGTGACTTCACTTTATTGCTGGTCAATATGAAATTTTTCTCCTCATTTTCAACTCCGTATTTTTACTGTTTGCTACGCTCATTTGTTAGATACCAAGTTGAACACAAGAAGAGAATTAATTAGCTATGCACACCTTTGTGTTATTCTCTATTTAATTGCCAATGTTTTACTTGTTTGCTTGTTCTGAAATTAGAACTTAAGGGATGCTGTGTGGTGAAAAAGATTATTTAGTATTGGAGCTTAAAAGTATGGTTTGTGTTTGTAAGTGCATCGTCCAAATCAGGATTTCTCCAGTTTCCAGAAAATTCCCCCCTGCCCCCCACCACACACACAAACATGAAATTGGTGCTCTGGTGCAGGATTTCAGGTTTTAGGAGTATGTAGGACTACCGGTATTTTATGAAAACTCATGGGTAACTTGGCTAAGCAAAGGGTGATCACCTCCTAAATTTTAAAAGTGTTCTTTGCAGTATATCCATATAAATAAAAACTTCTCTTCATAATGTAAAATAATATGGCCAAGCAAGCAGTTTAAGAGAATGACACCAGCTGCATTGTATTGTGTTGCCAATATTCATTAAATTTGTAGACCTTAACCAAGGATAACGTGGTGCTTTCTTAACAAATTTTAAGTTTGTCTCTTTTAACTCCAAAACTTTTAGGGTCTTCGAAGTGGTTCTACTGGCGTAGCTGTATTTATAAAGGGTGAATCACTTTATGTTGCATGGTTAGGAGATTCACAGGTCGTACTGTGTAAAGCTGGACAGCACCATCTCCTCATGGATCCCCATAAACCAAATAGAGAGGTATGGTGTAACACTAGTAACTTGGTTGAGTAGATAGACAGTGGGCTCATTTGTTGCAAAAATATAAACTGCTTTCTAAGGCCTGGTTCAGATGCTGCTCCCCTCATGTGTGAAACCTAATTCAATCAGGTTCGACTTGTTGATCCAGTACCAAATTTTCTGAAGTAATGTTCTAAGAACTAAATGGCAGACAGTAAGAAGAATTACATGTACAACTGTGATCTTGTGAGTGAAAGGGTTAATAAGCAAGAGTGGTTTGGTGGAAGTTCTCCTCTGTGTTTTCTAGCACAGCAACTAGTGTGGACTATATTCAGCAACATGTTTAAGTTTTTGAAATTGTTATTTTTTACTTTTTTGGATACAAATGTTTACAAAAAAGATAAATTTCTTCTAGGATGAAAGACAGCGTATTGAAGCTCTTGGAGGTTGTGTTGTGTTCTTTGGTGCTTGGCGAGTAAATGGAAGTCTTTCAGTCTCAAGAGCTATTGGTGATGCTGAGCACAAGCCTTACATCAGTGGAGAGCCAGACACAGAGGAATTGGATCTTGAAGGTAACATACATTATTACACGACTCGGGCAGTCAGAGGGCCAATAACTAAAATCAACCAATCAAAATGCTCTATTGCCGGTCAATATTCTCTCAGTATTGGACTGGGCACCATCCCGAATGGTCCCGAATGGTCCCGAATGATACTGCACTTGTGTCCCTTTGAACTTCAGTCGTATAATAATTCTCTTATTAACCAAGCTTGCTCGGGACCGTACTGGAAGAATATCGGCCCTCAGTCTTTTTTGTACGAACCGAGCTGCACTCAGTCTGTACTGTCAAGACCTCTGGCTGATATTCTCCCAGTACGGCCCTCACGCTTGGTTAATACGCTATATGTATTTCCTCAAATAAGTGCCTTGGGGGCTTATTTAAAATTTCAGCCAAAGAGGGGGGCTAATCAGAGGGAGGTGCTTTATTCTTGTCCATGATCTTCGATCCTGTTTTTAGTTATTTAATAGATCTACTTATTATTTGTATTCTTACAGAAATTATGTTTTATTTCTAATTGTACATACATGTACACGTTTTAACGAGAACTTCTGTACTCCTAGGTGTCACGTGTTTAAATAAAGGATTGATTGATTGATTGATTGAGAGGGGTGCCACATAATTGTTCTCCTGTACAGTAGAATCTTGATTTAACGAACCTCTATATAATGAAGTCCCCGGTTTAACAAATGATACTTTTCAGCCCGGCTAAAGTTACGGTAAAATGTATGCGACAGAACCTTGATATAATGAATCTCCATATAACGAAATTCTCATCATAATGAACACAATACAGGAGCCCAAGCATATACAGATACCCTGCTATGACTAACAAATGTCAACATGTGACAGACCAACAATCAAAATCCTCATTGGATTAACAACTCTAGTACAGTAGGCAGAACAGTGCAGTACTATACAGTAGTGGTCTGTTGTTTTAATGCTGGACACACTGTTCATGTTCATTATGAAATTTGACGAGTCAGGCACAAAAGAATGGAAATTTCTGTGCTCCTTCTCTTCAATGAAAGATGCACTTTAATGCAAGACAAAATGTGAGACAGTTAGAAAAGTTGTTTTGGTTAAGCATCTTGATTAGCAATTTTAATTGTAGAGTAAAGATTGACAAAAAATGAGGCAATTTCATTGGAAGAATTTTTGATTGGGTATCTCGATGAGCAATTTTGGGAGTAAAGTAAGGTGGTTTTCTCTTGTTTAAGTTAGTTTTCTGTTCGGTTGTGCTATTCATTAACCTTTTCATTTAGACATTTGACAAGCCAGTTGCAATTGTTAAAATTTTGTTGAATTGTTTAGTTTCTGGTGCTGTAGCTATGTACAGATCTGTACAGTGTACTGTAGCTTCAAAGAGACTAAAGCACAACATCACACACACATACACACACACACACACACACACACACACACACACACACACAAAAGAGACAATTATTTACCATACCTCGAATAACAAGCATTTTGCTTTTTTTTTCTGTAAATTCATTAAATTGAGGTTTTTGGTATAACAAACCCTTGACATAACAAACCAGTTTCCCCAGTCACTTGGCACTTCATTAAATTGAGCTTCCACTGTATTGATTCAGCTGTATTTTAAGCTTAAACAGTTCAAATTAAATTGGCAATAAAAACTGCTTTTCCTTGTTTCCCTGCTATTTAAGATCCTATCAAATACCCTTTCTCCTAGTGAAGCAGTCCTACAGTAGTCAAGTAGGTCATTCCTCTAGTAAGCCCTCTCCCCACCCCCCCTAAAAATTGTTTGTAACAAAACAGACCCTTGAGATGCTGAAAAGGGAGAATGTTAATAGGACAAGTGTCTTAAAAGAAAAACTTGGTGCAAGGTATTGTTAGTGTTAAATAACATGTTCATATTACTAGCACTCCATTGTATCTTGAAATCTTTACTCTTTTAACTTTCTGCACAGGTGATGAAGATTTCCTAATCTTAGCCTGTGATGGATTGTGGGATGTAATTAAACCATCTGAGGCTGTGAATGCTGTGTGTCAGTATCTTGCTGAAGGGGGAGATAGAGCATCTGTAGCAAAGTGTCTTGTGGATGGTGCTAAAGATGCAGGCTCTAATGACAACATTTCGGTAGTTGTTGTCTTCTTAGACTCTCACAAGAAAGATGTCTGTGAACAAGAAGTTTGTGACAGTGTTTCCAGGTTATCATCAAGCAGTGCAGATCAACACGTGCCTTTTACCAAGAATGGTAGTAATTCTTCTGAAAATGGCACCAACCAAGAAACTAATTGTGGAGACTTGGGTGAAAAATCATCAGCACTACCTTGTAAACTCTCACCAAAATCACTCAAGAAATCCTGTGAACCATCATCTAAATCTGCTGAGGATGGAGGTCCAATAAAAGAAGAGAATTCTCCAATGACATGATATTAAATCAGCTCTACAAACCACATCAGTCGCCTTTCATTCTCTTTTATAAAATATTTTTTAAAGAGAAATTTTTATAACATCAAATTTTTGAAGATATGACTACAATTCCTACAAAAAAAAAAGTTTTCACCATAAAACAGTGGTGGCCAATTTCTATCAACTATGCCAGTGCTTTAAGTCACTTTATGTGTTAATGAATGTAAAAGAAAAATGAAATGCTCAGTCATCTGTAGGAAGAGGTTCATCGAGGCTGAGAAAAATGTTTTTAAGAACTTATTTATTAATTTATTAGAGATGCTCCCTTGAAATACAGTTGGACAGACTCAAAGTTTTTTTGCTGTAAGTTGAAGTGAACAAAATTGTGGTAATCCATTTTTGACCAGGGAATATGACTTATTAGTCCCTTTTAGACATCACAACTGTTTTGCAAGAGATCTGCAACATGATTTCAAGACAACTTCAAACAATGAATTCTCATAGATCCATCTCCACTTTCATTATTTGCATGTTGTTTAAAAGCTTGTAACAATCACCAAACTTTGTGTGTAGCAGTGCTTATAATAGAAAAATATTGTGGATTAATTAGTGCATTCATTGAAATGCAACTTATTGAAGGTGCATTAAGAGGGAATCACCTTCATGACAGCAAATCATATAGAATAATGTTAAACATTAATTACCATGTATTGTTGTTAATGCAAGTTAACCATATGTAAAGTTAAGCCATGTGTAAAGAAATATCTGTTAATAATTTTTTTGTAATTAAAAACTGTTTACAGTAAATTAGCCCTTTGGCCCCTGACAGTGACCAGCATCTAATTTCTCCTTACAATATCACCCCTGAAACACACTTTAAGGTCCTGAGAATAAAGAACATGATCATTAACTAAAGAAGCTGTAGATTGTTAAACAAATTCTCCTTGTTAGTACCTTAGGAAATGTATGGAGACTATGGAGAATTTGCACACTGATGTTAGGGAGTGAAGGGTCAAGTAAACAGAACATTGTTAGATTATGATTACAATGGACGAGGAATTTTTAGTAAAATATTTTATCAATGTTATTAACTGAGAAGCAAGATATTTAACTGATGCAAATTACTATAATACATTTTAAACTTATATGGAAAGGTATGATCTGTGGTGTGTGAGATCATTCTGTGACTTTGATTAATGTTGGGTAGAAAAGTGGCAATTTTATATGATTCACATGACTGGATATCAAAAATTATTCCTATAACTCTTGGAGTAATCAGCATCTTATTTCTGCCTTGAGATCACGACAATGAAGTAAATTATCATCAACCCAAGAAGCTTTGTTTGTGAACGAAATTCTCCTTGTCAGCTGTCACGAAGCTAAGAGAAGATTCCTGTTCTCCACTTAAAACACTTTATTACTCATCTTAAACTTCTGAAAACCTCACAAAATCTTACGATCTCGAACCTTACTCATAGTAGCCGATTACGTCATACCATTTCTAAAATACTATTTTTAGCAGTACGAACATTGTAGACGCTAATGATATATCCTTAAAATAAGTCAATAGAATGTTCCGGAATATGGAGAAGTTTCTAGCACAGCTTATAAAGATAGCGATGTGGTAAATCAATGTTCTAAATTGTTCCCTTGATTTCTGGAAACTTCGTCACACAGTACCCGAGGAAATGTTTAGAGAACAGTTGGGAGAGTATGGATACCGATGTTACGGTGTAAAGGGTTAACAAGACTTACCAGAATTTGAGATATTTTCACCCTTTATGAGGAGTTTTTTTTTAAAGAAAAACAAGCATCATAAACGGCCCGCATCCTCAAATGTGATACATCTACCGAAAAATGTAATGTATCAGGATACTACTCGAGTTGTTATTTAAGCGTTAAAAGGTTTGGAAAAAGAACACATTAAAGTTTTTACTTTTGTATTTTACCTAGCCATAACCCACCCATTAATTTATGCGTGATCTTATTGACTACACTATGTAGCGTGGTGCAAAATCACCGGGCAGTTATCACGCATTTTAACCCACCATTAATTTTGGCGCGATTTTATTGGTCACTTTACGTCACGTGGTGCAAAATCATAGGACAGTTATCACGCAATAATCCACGTCGACATTTGTCCTCCGATTTTTTCCGTGAAAAACAAACATAGTCAACACAAGAGTTTCAACTTTTCCGTTCTCCTATTTACATGGAAGGAAACCAAACTCTTTTTTTTTTGCTTGCTTGCTTGCGTCAATCACGCGCATTCGCCATCAGATCACCACTGGCTTTTTTACTGTGTTAACGCGCAGTTTAATTGCGATGTGAAAATTAATGGGAGGGTTATAAAATATATAAATCCCATTCTGGCTTGCTGGTATGTCGGCTGATAATGTCCTTGGCTGAGAGATTGTCATCAAAATTTCATTTATGCCCTCGAAGCTTCGCTTGTCGGCCAAATATTCATTTTTCGGACAATCTCTCAGCCGCGGACATTATCAGCCGACATACCAGCCGCCCGGAGGGGTTTATTTACTAAACAACACCTGTTTACGTCGATATTTGTCCTCCGATATTTGTCCCCTTTTCTCCCCTGCCCCCGGGACTATAAGGTTCGGATGACTATAAGGTTCGGATGGCAGAAAGATTACACAACCATTCTCTTCTCCCGTCCTATCAGGGGCCCGCCCTTTTGGGAAATTTCAGCCGCTAGAAATTCAGTTTAAGTTAACAAAGCGACGATAAAATAATGGCGATGTAATTATGACGTCAGCCAAATATACTGATGCTCTTCTATCACGAGCACGCACTCGTGGTCACTCGGGGTCAGTAGTGTGTACTTTTTTCACGCTTGGTCAAGCGTAAACATTACTTATGCAATACACATATAACCACAGTTTCTGCTCCGTTTCCCCCAAATAAATAAAGCTCTCAAAAAACGCGCGTTCAGTAAATAAATGGACCGGCTTTACTTTGCAATCGGTGGTTGGTTACATGTAGTTGAACTGAGTAACGCAAATGATAAACTGCTCGTAAGTTGCTTTTCAGCGTGTAATTGTAAGTAGCAGTTTTGTATTTTGGCTTTTCTTTTTTAAGAAAGATTGATTTCATTTCGAGCGTTGCCAATGAAGATGAATTCTTAAGCTAATAAAATAGTTTGAAAGTTCTTAAAACCATCGAACTGACTTCATATCTTCTGCATCAAAACAAAAAGACACCGCGACGCTCGCTTAGATCCTCGATTCCAAGCTGCGATCGGGCAGAGAACAGATTCAAAATTGGCGCGAAATAAATTCATCCGAAACTTATCATTCAACCGCAAACATACAGTACAAAGAAGCCCTATCGTTTATCTAATGATATGCGGTATTTAGAGAGCGGTCTCTACAAGATTGATGCGGAGTCTGAAAAGTTTTCTTGCTCTTGGTAAGTTTATCAGCATCACCATATCATTTAGGAGCGCTCACCAATGAAGATTACAGTCGTATACAACAATCAAAGGTTGATTAGCGCCCCGAAAGCTTAGCGTCCTTGGTTTGTGCGGTTTTTGCAAACTGAAGACACTTCACTGACAAAGTGCATCCCAACACTAGCAGGACAGGGATATCTATGGTATGTCAAAGAAACCTCAGGAAAGGCTAAATGTAATTATCATCGCATTTTTTTGTTTCAAATTATTGCAACGCTCTGGAGGTTAAGAGTTTTTGCGAGTTCTTACAAGGCAAACTTAGAGCGAATTTTTCTTTCATTTTATTTATTATTCCTGCTATTCACACATAAAATTAGTTTGACGGCTATTTAAGGTTCAGTCTACTATATTCTGGGAAAAATGTGGACAGGATTTTAGACTATAAATGAATGATTTGCCGGACTCAGTTATCTAGAAACGAAAAGAGCCTGTGGAGCGGGAAAATTCGGATAACAAAACTTGTTTACTAATGAAATTCGTGCTCCGGTACACTCTCCATCGAACAGATTTGCAAACAGCATTTCCAAATTATTTCTAACTAAGCAACTAACGTTTTCTTACTTACTGGAAAATAGAAAAGAACGCAACGAATATTTTGCGCTGACAGTACAACGGTCAACGGCGGCGAGGACACTTTTATGGACTCATACTATGAGCTTAATTGTCCCGCCAAAAATATTTAAACATTTTTCATGTCATCGGTCTCGAAAAGCTCGAGTGTTGTTACGAACTCGGTGTTCGCCCTCATTTTAAAAGTGGAGCAAGCGTTTTCAAATTAATTTATTTTGAACTGTGTTTTCAAAATTCTCAGGTCTGCCTTCATGCAGCCTTGAGAAGACAGGGCCCTAGGTAAGATCATCATTCAACAATAATAATACCAATATTACGATTTGTAATATATTCTAAAAGTAACTTAATCTCGAGCTTAGGATCATTTAGGTTCGTTGTCGGCGAAATTGCTCGACAACCATATCGCAAACATGGAGCCCAAGTGACCCTGGGAGCTCGAGATTACAAGTGACTAAATTTCGAAATTGTTATGAACAAGTAGTTAGTGTTCAAAGACGAAAAATCGTCGAGGATTTGCAGTAACGTTCGAGAATTTTCTAGCCTTCTTGAGTTTTAAGTCTTCTATTTAATTTATGAAATATTTCACAGAAAACACAGAAGGCTTGACGTCACAACCGTGTTTACGTACTCTCACCAGTAAACACTCTTTTATCTAATGGCAACACCCATTATCAATAGGAAGAGAATCCTACGTTTTGATTGGCTACTCGAGCGGGCAAGATGGGCTCATGTTGCCTGCTTTAATCCTGCTCAATGAAAAAAAAAAAAAAAAAAAAAAAAAAAAAGAGAAAGACGTGAAATAAACGTGTAACTTCGTAATTTTTGAACAATGTCGGCGCTGGAGTCGTCAAAAGCGACAGTGACAATCAAAACAAAGGAAACATGAACGGTCCTTGTTGGTTTATCGTTCTACAACAATTGGCTTTCTTTCCCATACATACATACATACATACATACGTTAGTTGACCACTCCCTATGGGGGCTTTTCAGGGCCAATTCCCACCCATCCCACCCCAGGGGAGAACATCCACAACACAGTAATCTCGTGCGTGGGAAATTAACGTCTCCTACCCCTAACCCTGCAGGAGACGGGGCCTACGGTTTATTCGTCCTTATCCGAGAAGACTAGAATATCTATCCATTTCTTGATTATAGAAAGGTAGCAAATTTTCCTCAGTTATTTTAAGACCATGGGTATCGCTCCGGCCGGGGCTCGAACCCTCGACCTCCCGCACAACACAATCCGGCGCTCTAACCGATTGAGCTAACCGGGAGGCTCTAGAAATAAGTTATTCTTAATTTCATCAAAGCGAAATATTTTTGCTCTTTAACGAATCCTTTATTGACCAAGCTTGTTCGGTCAAGATGGCTAGACTTAAGCCTCATTCTTTTTTTCACGCCCTCGTTTTTATGCTCGACTTCGTCTCGGTTCGTAAAAACGCAACAGAGAACTCGGCTACTATCTAGCCATCCTGGCCTCCCGCTCGATCAATAATACAACTGTATCGACCAATGAGAGCGCGCGTACAGTCTTAAATGTTTTTTTAAGAAATGAATAGTGTTCAATTCCAAAGCTGAGCCTTGGCGGAACTTGAAAAGGATTTTGGCAAAATGTTGTTCACCCGCTATTTTGTCTTCATCGAAAGGGATGGTCTCGATTTCTCTATCGAGATGGAACAGGCTTACAACTGTCAAGTTACCTGTATCGGTTATTTGGGGCGGAAATTCCAACGGGGAAATTACAACAATCACCACTGCTACGATTGATGATGCACACAATGAAGTAACAACTTGGAGAAAAAACACTTTCTTAGTTCCATACGGTAAAAATGGTCGCGACTTTATCGACTAGTTAACGAAGCACATCGACGACTGGAACAATGGATCCTCTATGCAACACCTTGCACTAAAAGCCGCTATTGTTCTTCTCGCTGTTGCGCTACAAAAGCCTGGTCAGAGATCGAAAGCAAAGGAACATCAAGAATGTCTTGAGAAACGAGTAATACTGTGGAGAAATGGCGAGATTGAGTCCCTATTACGCGAGGGGGGAATAATCCAACGGCGCTTATCAAAGTCGAACAAGAATGATCCATCAAATAAAGCGCGCATTTTTGCAAAGTTGGTCATGGAGGGCCAGATTAATTCGGCCCTGCGATATGTCAGTCAGGATTATAGCGGAGGAGTATTACCGCTGACGAGCGATGTTGTGAGAGAACTGAGAGAAAAACACCCTGATGCGCAGAGGGCCAAGCTAGGGTCGATGTTGTTTGGGCTTGTGGAAGATATACCTGACTTGGTGTTTCAAGGAATTAATGGAGAGTTTGTGAGAGAAGCTGCATTAAGAACTAAGGGGTCTGGCGGCCCCTCGAGTGTGGACGCCAATGGCTTCAAGAGGATCTTGGCATGCAAGTCTTTTAAGAGATCAAGTATCAACCTATGTGAGTCTATAGCTACACTCACAAGAAGACTGGGCACGGAATTTGTTGATCCGCTGACCATTGAACCTATCGTGGCCACTCGCCTTATTCTGCTTGACAAGGGTAACGGTGAGGTGACAAGGGTAACGGTGAGGTGCGCCCGATTGGTGTGGGCGCGGTGATTAGAAGAATAATTGGCAAATGCGTCACAAGAGTCACAAAACAAGATGTGATCAACGCTAGTGGGGCCATGCAGATCTGCGCAGGTCAGAGGAGCGGCGAGGAAGCCGCAATACATGCCATGCGCAATATCTTTGAAGGCGATGAAACTGATGCCGCCTTACTAGTTGACGCCTCTAACGCCTTCAATTCACTAAACAGAGCGGCCGCGCTTAATAACATCGGAGTGCTATGCCCATTGATCGCCATCTATGTAACTAACACTCATCGAGTTCCTACGCGCCTTTTTGTGGTTGGTGGTAGTGAGCTTAAATCTGCAGAAGGAACCACACAGGGAGACCCCTTAGCTATGTCAATGTATGCAATTAGTCTACAACCGTTAATGTCGTTACTTCAAAATCGAAGCACTGCAAAACAATGCTGGTTCGCAGATTACGTTACTGGAGCAGGATCCCTGGAAGAGGTTAAGCAATGGTGGGATGAGTTGAGAGAGGCTGGTCCGACCCTTGGATACTATTCTAACTCCAAGAAATGCTGGCTTGTTGTTAAGCCGGAAAAGGAAGGCCACGCGAAGGAAATGTTTGCAGGGACTGGTATCAACATCACCACCGAGGGACGCAAACACCTTGGTGCTGCTCTGGGCTCTCGGTCCTATCTTGAGCAATATGTGGATAGCAAGGTAGATGAGTGGGTGAAAGAAATGACGAGGTTGACGGAGTTTGCAAGATCTCAGCCACAAGCTAGTTACGCTGCATTCACATTTGGAATTCGACACTGGTGGACGTACTTTATGAGAACACTGCCGGATATTGAGAACCTACTGCAGCCCTCAGAGCATGCAATCTCGGATGTACTTATACCGTCGCTCATAGAACGTAACTGTTCTGAAGAAGAGCGTAGTCTGGTAGCATTACCAGTGCGTATGGGAGGCCTTGGGCTCATTAATCCATCTGATACTGCGGATGCGGAGTATTCAGTGTCTGTTAGGGTAAGCGCTCCACTTGTAAGCAAAATAGAGGCGCCATCCCATGAGACCCCAGAAGAGGCCGAGATACAACGACTGGTATACGTCACCCGGAAATAAAAGGATGGTACACTAAAAGAAAAGCTCGAGGAGGTGAAGGCCTTATTACCAGGCAAGACACAGAGAGCCGTATACCTGGCCTGTGAAAAAGGCGCATCCAACTGGCTTACAGTTATTCCTCTCAAAGACATGGATTTTGATCTCAACAAGCGTGAATTTCGGGACGCTGTGAGGCTTCGATATGATTGGCCAATACTCGACAATCCATCAGTATGTGTTTGTGGGAGCTTGTTCACAATGGATTACGCGATGATCTGCCAGCGTGGAGGCTTAGTCATTCAGCGTCACAATGAAATACGCGATGTACAGGCCGAGCTACTCGACATGGTTTGTTACGATGTGCAGGTGGAACCGGCCTTACAACCTATTACAGGCGAAGAATTTCCCAGAGGGACTAATCAAGCCCCTGACGCACGCCTCGACGTCTACTGTAGGGCTTTCTGGGAGCGACAGAGGGCTGCTTTTTTCGATATAAGGGTGTGTCATCCAAACGCAGACTCATTCAGAGATCTTAGCCCCAAGCAGATTTACAGGATTCATGAAAATGAAAAGAAGCGAAAATACAACTCCCGTGTAACAGAAGTAGAGCAAGGCACTTTCACCCCACTGGTATTTACAATGACGGGGGGGATGGCAGACGAATGCCTGAGGTACCACTCAAGATTAGCCGAGCTATTATCTGCCAAAAAAGCAAGAGAGCTACGCCACAACAATTTCATGGGCCAGAGCGAAAGTGTCCTTTGCAATTTTGCGGAGCGCGCTCCTATGTCTAAGGGGATCTAGAACCCTGAGAAGGAGGAACTTAGACATTAAAGACAGGGATCTGGAAGTAGAGAAGGGTCGAGCAAGACTTCCTTAAACTCATCAGTTATAAATTATTTTTATTGTTTTTATAGTAAGTTTTTCTTATTTTTTTGCGTTGAACTTTTGCAGACTTTACATTTCCTTTGTCAAGAGACTTAAAATTACTATCATTAATTGTTATCACTATAATCATTTTTATTATCATCATTTTTATCATCTTTATTATTATCGAAAAGCTCGAGAAGTAAACGTAGACGAGGTGTGTTTTTCTCAGATGGACATTTTAAAGTGTTTTTCGATTTTTAGGGTTTTTATCTACGTTTGGTAAATACTTTTGGTGACTTTAAATAAGGCTTACAAAGTGGTGAAACATTGAGCATGCGCAAAGAATCAGTTTTTGGCGGCCGCGTGCAAATTTCCCGCGCAAAGAAACCGCGACGTACTGTCTTGTGAGTTGTGAAACCCTGGGAATGCATGCGTAGACGTTTTACTATTGCGTTGAAAAAACTAGTTAGGAATGAGAATATTTTCTAAATATTTTATAGGTTTAAGTGATGACATCAAAAGGCGGTTACAGGAAAATATCCGGTGGTGACGACAACAAAGTCAGTTTTGCATCTGCTCTCTTTTTTCGTTGGATGAACGGAGTTCTTAAGCAAGGCAGTCAAAGACCTTTGGATCAAAATGACTTTTTACCATTGTCAGACGAGAACTCTGGCCGCTTTGTTACCGACAAGCTTCGAACAAGCTGGGAAGGCAAAAAACATCATTGCAAGATAAAAGGAAAAAGGCCTAAACTTTGGAAAAGCGTGTTTGATATGCTTTCTGTCAAAGATGTCATCATTATTTTGACAAGCAATATGTTGTGTACAACTTCACGTTTTCTCTTTCCATTGTTTCTCGGGTATTTCGTTTCTATGCTTATTTCAGCTGAAGCAAACAATACTTACCTGATCTACGCCTGCGCATTAGCTTTGTGTCTCAATGGTTTGATCGGTGGTCTTGGTCTACACCAGCAAGACTACAGATGTGAAGTGTTGGGGATCAAAATAGGCAGCGCCCTGAGGGGACTGGTGTACCACAAGGTAAGCAGGCTGATCCCTAAAGAGTATTCTATTCCTTTGTGGTGGGGTTATTAATTTATCTATCCAATCTGAAATTATAATTTTCCAGGAAACTTAACCATTTGCAATCAACTTGTGCTATAGTGAGACCTAGAAGGAGAGGATCATTGAACATGATTACTGGTTGCTGCTTCTACGAGACAACTGTAGAACTCGAGCGATCCTTCCCACCAACAAACAAGCAAATTAACAAACACTAACTCAGTCTACAGTTGATGGCATTTTCAAATGGTTGATGGTATATTCAGAATTGTAAACTCTTACGGCTTTCGAGCTTCCAAAATGTAACCTTATCATTGGAAAATTTTCTTCAAAAGTGTGTTGATAAATCTCCATGGTCAGATACAACGCGCCTGACACAAAACTTTTCTTCTATAGCTATCGCACAGAATAATTATTTAAGTCAAGAATAGCTTTATGTGTAGCTCCTTCTTGTTCGGGTAGATTCCCTTGTGATGAAAAAAGGAGAATGTTATTTTCATATGTCACTTGTGAACGGCCACCCTGCTAAGCGAGATTCAAACTGGCGACTGAGTTGTCGCATTATGGACACATTTGAAGATACTTTAGTAAAATTTCGATTATTCTCGTCTCGAAACACGGTTATGGCTATATTAAATGGCGGAGATTAAAATCTTATAGGTTTTGGCTCTTCAATGTCAAATCTTCACTCTCTTTCAGACACTTCTTCTCAGCAAACAGGTGTTACTGGAATTCACTGCAGGACGCTTATTTGACCTGATATCTAATGATGTTAAGAGAATGGAAGAAGAGACAGTCAAGTTTTTTTTCTTGACACCTTTTGCAGTCCTGTCGTATGCAGGAACAACATTCCTTATATACAATCTGATTGGTTGGCAGGCTACAGCGGGAGTGTTTCTCCTGTGTATTCTCATGCCATACTTTGCCGTCTTGTCCTATGGTAATGCTAAGCTGCGCTTGCGCACAGCTACAGTGTCCGATCAGCGAATCTCCCTTATGAATCAAGTAGTTTCCGGAGTCCGCGCAGTGAAAACGCATGCGTGGGAGGAAGAATATCAGCGAAAAATAGAAGATATACGAAGGTAAGGTAAATGACCATGTTCGGTCGGAGGTGGACTCCAACAACCATGCGGTGTGAGCCGCATTAAATATATATGCCTGAACTCATTTAAACTTACTTGTCATATCTCTCAGTTAGAACGCGCGCTATGATTGGTCGATTTAAGCGTCGATCAACTTGAAGCTTCAACATTCCCCTCAGGCAACCCCCCGGGTATTTGACCTTTTCAACATCGGTTCGTTTAAACTCCTCCCCCTCCCCCACCAGGCTAATGAACGGGGGCTGAATTTCAAAATGGCTGTTTTTCATTGTTACCGAGGAAGGAATTTTTGCTGTCATATTCTAATGGGAACTGGCTGTTTATCTTGACATAAGTTATCAAGAACTAAGTGTCAAAAAACACGCAAAGTTTTCTCTATTTACAGAATGGCGTCAACAACAGAGTGAATCTGCAACAGATTTCGAAAGCACTTGAGCAGTTATACTAAAACAATCATTCGCCTCAGGCTCACTGAATGTTTTTAATAATTCCCTTGACTTTGTCCGAGGGATTTTCAAATGTATTCACTTCACTTTCGTAATATTTGTTAAATCATAACTGATAGAACATTTCATTGAGCCAAACTCGTCTTCCGTGCTGCCTTATTTTTCATACATGGTGCTGGGGTCATGGGAGAATGGCACTTGCATGACGAAATGGACGATGAGAAATTTTTCAAAGGAAGGGTACACTTCTTGCGCTTTCACCTCATCAATATTTGATAGTAGAGAAGATTGGGGACAAGTAGGTTCGAGAGAATGCCCACATAACTTGCAATTATCTTTCTTCCGCTTCAGGAATGAAATCAGCGTCATTTCGAAGAGGACAACCATTCAGTCAAGTCTTGACGCCTTGTTGTACAGTGCGACGCCATTAGCTACTCTGGTGTCGGTAATTACTATGGTGCTCACAGGCCAGACCCTCACACCTGCTAATGTTTTTATGCTGCTGTCGTTTATGGGTGTTCTAAAACTTGCTGGCATGTTTAATTTGACAAATGGTTTCATGAGAACATATGACGCATACGTTTCACTTGAAAGAATCGAAGAATTCCTTCTTTTAGAAAATTTATCGGAGGCCTCGAAGGGTGATGAAAATAAGGAACACCAACAAAAGGTCGAGAGTACCTCCATTAAACAAAGTAGCGGATACTCAAAAAAAGAAGCCGAAAATATGAAGAACATTTCATCCTCTTTTGAAGTAACAGAACTAGGGCCAACTGATCTATGTGTGTCAAAGTTAACCTGCGCAAAAAGCCATCGTGAACATGAATTTATTCTTCAGGATATCAACTTTGTTGCACCTTTAAAGAGTTTAACAGTAATCACCGGGCCGGTTGGAAGTGGTAAGTCCACTCTACTCTCAGCGATCGCTGGTGAAATTTCCAACAGTAGTGGGACGATTTTGTATCGAGGCAATGTCATTTACTTGCCTCAGACTGCTTGGGTGTTCTCGGGAACAATAAAAGAAAACATTCTGTTTGGCCAGCCCTACGCAGAGTTCAAGTACGAAAGAATAATCGACGTCTGTGCTCTTAAAGAAGACTTTCAGCGATTACCTGATGGTGACCAAACAGTTGTTGGAGAACGCGGCGAGGTTCTGAGTGGAGGACAACAGGCAAGAGTAAGTTTAGCTCGTACAGTTTATGCTGAGGGAGATGTTTATCTGTTGGATGACCCACTGAGTGCTGTCGATTTTAAAGTTGGGCAACACATCTTTAACAAGTGCATCAAAGATCTACTGGCTGATAAAACTGTTCTGTTAACCTCTCATCAGCAACAGCACATGGAAAATGCCGATGAAGTGATTGTGTTGTACAGAGGGCGGGTACTGGATAAGGGACGCTTTATTGAGCTGTACGAAAAAGGTGTACTTAGTTCAACTGTTGACCCGCTCTATAAAGCAGCTCTGAAGGACAAAACAGAATCATCGGCGACGTTTACCTGGGAAAATACTGAGAAACACGTCGATGCTGAAAAATGCCAGAAAACACATTCTCTGCCTAATGAAGCGAAGAGTTTGGAGATAGCAAAGGAAGATCGTACAATTGGAGTTGTCACATCCAAGCTGTATTGGAACTACTTCAGAAGTGGAGCACATCCTTTGATGATAACTGGAATGGTTGTTTTAATTCTCATTACTCAAGGTAAACTTATTGTTACACTGAGTTACTAGCCTTGGGTCAGGCCCTAAAAGGGAATACAGCCGTATTTTTCTTATTATGTGCAAAGCATTCGATTGCAACTATCAATTTAAACAACAGTATGCGTTAATAATAAAAAATGGAAATTAACTTGCATTAAAACCTTCCTTAAAGTCTGCAAAATAAGCGTCTTTTTTCGCGGTTTTCTGCAGTGCAGGAACGAGCGTGAGACACGCACGAGGACAATGCGAAGGATGAGAGACGTGCGATTGGAGAAGCACGTGTTTAGCCGTTCTCGTTTGCCTCATGCTCGGCTTGCGCTTACCTCCACTCACCTCAAAAACAAGAAAGAGCCGGCTGTTTTGTTGGCTACCTTACTAGCATTAAACTTTCGAGGGCAGATTTCTTTTAATGTAAACCATGGTTAACCTATTCATCTATCCACACATATTCAATTATTACATCCTAATGGTGTTTCTTTCAGCCATCATTGTTGCTCCGGACGTGTGGCTCTCGTTTCTTGCAAGGCTAATCCCAGAAGATCAGAAGAACAAGACTTATTTATCTGTCTTCGCCTGTCTGGTTGGCGCGTGTTTTATATTTACTATTATTCGGGCTTATGGATTCCTCCTACTTTCTCTAAAGTGCGCCGAGCGTCTTCACGATAAAATGGTTGTGGCCCTTTTACAAGCACCTGTCCTGTTCTTTGATTGTAATCCAGTGGGAAGAATCCTAAATCGCTTCTCGAATGATATTGGCTGCGTGGATGAGTTATTACCCAAAACATTCCTGGCGGCAATGCAGATGCTTTTGATGACATTTGCCCAAATTCTGGTAACAGTTGCCACAATTGTTTGGCTCGTGTTTCTCGTTGTTCCAATTTCCGCGCTGGTCGTTCTTCTTTCCAATTATTACTTGAAAACGGCCAGAGAACTAAAGAGGCTGGAGTCGATATCTCGTAGCCCGGTGTTCGCTCACTTTTCGGAGACTCTGGTTGGACTGGACACGATTCGTACAAGAGGAAGACAGACAGATTTTGTGGACACACTATACAGGTACGTTAGAAACATAGACTCAGGATGTGCTGCAAGAGCTGATTAATGTAAAGAGCACGGATGAGTTCTTATTGACACTATTTCCAACTTACATCGCCAGAATTTTGTCGTGTCTTTTGAGATTCTTACTGACTTTTGCCGAGACACTGGGTGACACTTCCGAGACATCGAGTGAACCTTTCCTTGCGGGAGTTTTTCGGAGAGTTGCGCTTTTTTTGAAAGGAAGGGAGAGGAATTTGTAGGAAGGCTCCATTCTATTATCAGGCGTATTTCTCTTCTATGAGAGCTAACTGTGATAAATACGCCTCCCTCCAGATATCAAGATGTTCATAATCAGGCATACATTATGGTGATGGCCAGCGGTAGATGGCTCGGTACACGTTTGGATTGTCTCAGTTCCCTGTTTGTTGGTGCAGTTGCTCTGGCTGCAGTCTTGGTATCTCAAGATGCCGGTAAGCTCAAGATTCTTAGTAACGTTTTTGAGTCTTATTATTTATCACGAATCTGTATGGTCGTGTATTAACACAGCATGCACTATTGAATAACGATAACACAGGTAAGACTATGCGCCCACTGTCATTGGTTGATAGGTGTGTACGGGTCAGAGTTGGGACATTTTTAGATTCGCAATAGTGCTTGGGAAATATTTTATGAAAGTAAATTGATGGAGGACTTTTTCCGTGTCTAAATAGCGTCATCTAAACCTGAAAGTGATTGGAAGAGTAGTGAATCTGGAAGTTATGCAAACCCATGTGGCAGTCATAACCTATCCACGGGTGGTTTTCAAACATGACAGAAAGTCGTGTGGCTTAGGAGCTCATTAAACTTTCACGTGTCTTTTATGATTCACCAGTAAATTTAGGTTGTCAACCTTAAAACAAAGAGCTAGTATATTATACTACTAATAATAATAATAATAGTAATAATAATAATAATAGTAATAATAATGATAATAATAGTAATAATAATAATAATTGTAATAATAATAATAATAATAATAATGTAGAGATGAAATAAACAATTCCTAATATAAGAGAAAAATCGAGTTTCCAGATGGGATTTGAACCCACGACCCTCTGTGATCT